CACTTAACAACAACGGCATATACATATATGCTTAATTATATGTTTATTTTAGGATCCCATTTGATTTCTGTAGACTAGTTCTTTGTTTCTGTAGGCTTCCATAGAACTGTCCTAGGCAATTTTCAACTACATGGACTGTTAGGTTGATTTGTTTAGAAACCACCAGAATTTACCTTTAAATATTATTTGAAGTTATATTTACTTGTTTATATCATATATGTAATGAGCGATAGTGCATTGAGATTATTTAAAAAGGAGATTGCATGGTGTGCAATTATGTTTGAACACACAAAGTTTCCCCCTTTTATGATTTATATGTTTACTATTTTACTTTTCACATGAATGTTTTTTTTCCAGGATGTTGTGAGCACCAAAGTGCTGCCTTTACCCTCAGGCAATAGGAAATAAAGCATTAAAGAGATAAAAAACAACCATAAGACTATTTCCATTTACTGCCTGTTTAACCTTTTTGTATCTCTATTTTGTTATTTATAGACAGTTGTTACCTTCAGCTACAGAAAGCTTCCTTTCTAGAATATATTTCAGATAGAAGCTTTTATTTCAAGGGTATTTTAAACTATTGGGAAAAAATGTATAAAACAAGAATTCTGATTCTAACTCGTGGGAGCTTCATATAATTTTTGTCAATACTAATTATTAAGCTTATATGTTATCTAATGACTAAAGTCCTTTGCTGCTCACCAAAAGGTCAAATGTTTAAACCACCATCCACTCCCTGGGAGAAAGATGTGGCAGTCTATTTCCGAAAGCATTTAAAATTTCCTTTGCTTTTGAGTTTCTATAAGGAGTAGAAATGCTCCATGTGGTTTTCAAGACTGTAATAAAGGTTTCTTATAAGGCTATGATAATGATGTATATAAAGGAGTCCTGATGTGGCACTGTAGGATAAGCACTGAACTGCTAACCACAAGGTTGGTGGTTCAAACCCACCAGCCACATCTTGGAAATTCTAGACAGGGTCACTGTGATTCAGAACTGACTGGACAGTTCTTAACTTAACAACAACAGTGAATATTTAAGAAAAGTCTTTTTTTTTTATTGTTTGTTTTTAGTGTTATTTTTAGAAATGTCTTGTTATTAGTGGGAGCTTCAAGACAAAACTACAAAATGATTAAGCGTCAGCACCACTCCTATTTTTAAACCAAAGAAATAGAAAAGGTGTTTTAATTTTCTCACTGGCATAGGCACTTGTTGTAAGTGAGCTGATTTATTTTATTCTTAAAAAAGACACTCAACGTGCTTTATTTCTACATACTCTTGAAATAGTTTCATTAAAAGAAAAGCTAAAGGATCTATTAACTACTAAATTTCCAAAAACTAAACAATCTATCAACTACTAAATTATAGTCTTTCATAAATGTAGTTAATTTACTAGTTTGATAGTGGAATATGTTATTCTATATGATTAACTGTTAACACTTTTAAAGAGAACTATTTCTCAGTTTGGATGTAATTATTAATTGCTTTGACTTGCATATGTTTCTCTGGTTTTCTTTTTTTCCCTTTTAGGCTGTACTTTGGAGGTATAAATTTTCTCAGCTTAAAGGTTCTTCAGATGATGGGAAGAGCAAAATCAAATTTTTGTTTCAGAATCCAGACACTAAGCAGATTGAAGCAAAGGTAAATCCAAGAAATCCATCACATTATTCACCTCTAGTTACATTACTGCCATGGAGAAGCAAAGGGGACATACTTTGAGAGAAAAAACATAAAAGAGCAAATCACACACTCTTTATTATGCCCTACAGAATAAATTCACATTCACATTTAAGTAGCAAGTTTTCACTGGAAAGACAGCTGAAAATAAATTTCACACAGGTAACCACATTTCCTAGTTTCCATTTCTAATGAACTGCATGTATGTCATGTTAAAGTAATGTGTTCGTAACTTAAAACACTTAATTTCTTTGCAGTATATATATATACATATATATCTCTGGTAGCGTAGTGGTTACGAATCTGGCTGCTAACCTCAAGGTAGGCAGTACAAAACTACCAGCTGTTCCCTGGGAGAAAGATGAGGCTTTATGTTCCGGTAAGGATTTCATATAATAAAGAATAAGTTAAAGTAGCTTTGTGGTTTCATATAATAAAGAACAAGTTAAAGTAGCTTTCAAAAAACACAACTCCATTTTAATGAGTATCATTCCCTCCTTGAATATGAATACAAATTCTTGATAGAAAAAATATCTTAACATCAATTCATGTTTTTCCTATGTAATTAGATGTAGTTAGAAGATGACCTTAATGAATATGTTTTTGCTCTACTGCATGTATAAATTAAATTTATTGAAATATGTTTGCTTTTATATTTAAAAGTCTCACTGCTTTTATTTGCATGCATATATATACATTTGTAAATATGCAAAACCTGAATTATTCATATTGCTCTATTGCAAAGTTCACAACAACACATTTTGATTAGAGTAATTTATGAATACATCATTCTAGAGAGTTCTGGATAAGCCCAGGACTGCTAACTATAAACTTGGTGGTTCAAACCCATCAGTTGCTTCTTGAAAACTCTGTACAGGGTTGTTATGAGTTGAAACCAAATTGACAGCACTTAACAACCAAAACAACAGTGTGATGGAAAGGATAAATATGTAACATCAAAGTAAAAATTAGGTCCTTGAAAATAAGATTCAGGATAGTTTTTTTTAACTATGGAGCAACATTATTAAGATTGTATGGTATTGTTATAAAATTCCTGGGGAAATCTTAGCTCAATATCCAAAACCTTTCAAAGAATGACCTTATGTAATTCATAAGTCTATAACTCTTAAATATACTAAAATAATTGGTCAATGTTCAAGCATTTTAAGAGGAATATGGTCAAAGCTGATGGTACTGAAGAAAAAAAATCCGAGCTGTACTGAAAGCATTAGTGAATATAACTCTCCAGGAACTGACAGAATATAAATGGAAATGTTTCAACAAATGGATGTAGCACTACAGGCACTCACTCAACTAGCCCAAGAAATTTGAAGTACAGCTATCTGGAAAAAGTACAGCTACTGACTGGAAAAGATCCATATTTGTGCCCATTCCAAAGAAAGGTGACTCATTGGAATATGGAAATCGCCACATATCATTAACATAACATGCAAGTAAATTTTTGCTGAAGATAATTCAACAATGGTTTCAGCATTACATCAACAGAGAGCTGCAAAAATTCAAGCTAGATTCAGAAGAGGATGTGGAATTAGTAGAATCATTGCTGATATCAGATGGATCTTAGCTGAAACAGAGGATACCAGAAAGATGTTTACTTATGCTGTATTGATTATGGAAAGACATTTGACCATGCAGATCATAATTGCAACAAATGGGTATTCCAGAGCACTTCATTGTGCTCATTGGGAAACTATACATAGATCAAGAGGCAGTTGTTTGAGCAGAACAAGAGGATATTGGATGGTTTAAAATAAGGAAAGTTGTGTGTCAGGGTTGTATCCTTTCACCATACTTATTCAATCTGTATTCTGAGCAAATAATCTGAGAAAGCAGAATTATATGAAGAAAAATGTGGCATTAGGATTGGAGGAAGATTCATCAACAATCTGGGATATGAAGTTGACACAACTGTGTTTGTGGGAAGGGAAGAAAACTTGAAGTACTTACTGATGAAGATAAAAAAATACAGCCTTCAGAATGAATTTCACCTTAATGTAAAGAAAACAAAAATCCTCATAGATGGACTAATAAATAACATCATGATAAACAGAGAAAAGATTGAAGCTGTCAAAAGATTTCGTTTTACTTGGAACCACAATCAACACTCATGAAAGAATCAGTAAAACCAAACATGTTGCATTAGACACAAGATTTCTTTAAAGTGATAAAGAACAAAGACATCAGTTTGAGGACTAGGGTGTGCCTGACCCAAACCATAGTATTTTCAATCACCTCTTATGAATGTGAAAGTTGGACAATGAATAAGGAAAA